GGAGACACCTCCGGCCAGTTCAGACTAGCGATTCCCAAAGCATTTCCGTGGAACATGAGTTGTGGGCTCAAGAGATCAGGAGTCTCTCTCAGAGCCTCCAGCTTGCCCAAGTGCACAAAGCTGCACCCCACAGAGGTTCCCCATGAGGACTCGGCCTAGGAGCTCTCTTTCTGGGGGAGGGCATGGCATTCCCTAGGCCTGCTTGGGGAGCAAGGGCAGGGTGGGCTTGGGGGTCACAGGAGCCTCCCCAGGCTGTCCTGTCTCTCCCAGCCCCTCCTGCTGCCCCATTCCCCATGCCCCTAGGGTTCCCCATCACCACCTTCGTGGCCCCCACGGTCTCTGGTCCCTCCCTGGTTTCCCTGCTGTGCACTGAGTATGCCTAGTCCTTCCTGCTCCTGGGGCCTCTTGCTTCAGGAAAGTCACCTCGGCCACCAGTTCCCTCCAGAGCTGATGAAATGAACGCAGATGAAAACTGTATTTGTGGAATTAAATTCCATCAACTGTCCTCTAGATTCTAGAGCCAGTTTCTCTATCATAGCCATGATTTTGGTCTAGTTAGATGTTATTTTGTAAAAACACCATGTTGCTTTTTGCTCACTTCTTGGTATTTATTTCTTAGGTGAAGGCAAACTCATTATTTATTTTCAAAGATTCACTAAAAGCATTGCCCCTCCAAAGCTCCCACCTAACCAAATTCAGAGTATGAGTGCTTAAGAAAGTCACAGACACTTCTTGCGTGACGGACACTCAGAGTGACTTTACATAAAGCCCACTGTAAAGAAGAGCTGTAGGAACAGGAGCTGGGGACACCGCAGAGCACTCAGGCTGTGAGGCAGGCATCCAGGCCTCACTAACCCAAGCAGTAGTTCTTTAAAGAATAATCTCCATGGTCCCCCACATTTTCCTTTTAATGTTTCAAATCCATGACTTTTAAAATATGAAAGAAGGTGAGAATGGTTATGCTTTTCTATGACTTCCAAGGAAGAAGCACACTGTTCAAACTCAAGATGCAATCAGCATTACTGTGCAAATTCGATACTATTTAAAAGCAACCAGGCTGGGTGAAAGGGCTCATGCCTGTAATCCCAACACCTTGGGAGGCTGAGGCAGGTGGATCATTTGAGGTCAGGAGTTCGAGACTACCCTGGCCAACATGGTGAAACCCCGTCTCTACTAAAAATACACAAAAATTAGCCGGGCGTGGTAGCACATAGCTGTTATCCCAGCTACTAGGGAGGCTGAGGCAGGAGAATCACTTGAACCCAGGAGGCAGAAGTTGCAGCGAGCTGAGATCACGCCACTGCACTCCAGCCTGGGCGGCAGAGCAAGACTCTGTCTCAAAATAAATAAATAAACAAATAAATAAAAGGCCACGAACGTAATAATCACTGTAAAGACGTAGGCGATGGGAAAACCTACTTAAAAAGAGTTAGCACTTACTGCACCTTTAGGATTTTTCCCTTTTGTTTGAAGTACTACAGAAAACATTATTGAAATTCATGGGAAGCTGAGAATATTAGCACAAATCCCACCACGATTTCCATCAACTGTATGGGCTATGAGTTGGTAGGTTGCTGGGACATTCTTTGGTCACAGAGAGACATGAAATAAGGCTCAAGTTGACACCATGGACGCACAGTGTCGTCCTGTGCTACCTCATACTGGGGCTGAGGGAGCCTCAGTGGACAGGATAGCCCAGGGCTGATGATGGCACTTTCCTCGTGGGCCACAGAATGGGAGTGTGCAATGCTTACGATCATGATCAAGGGGGTTACTCCCTGTGTGATTATAGCAGGCAGGGGTCTAAAACCTAGGCACTTGTGCCAAGATGAAGGGCTAGGGGTGAGAGAAGCCTGAAGACACATGCGAAGGTTTCCCCAGGCTCTTACCTACTTTATTCAAAGTGATTTTTAAGACCACAGGACAGGCTCCTGATACCCTGGGAGGAACGGTGCTAACACGTGCAGGCGAAGGATGTGGAGTCCGAGGCAGGTGCCCCAGGAGTCTTGGTAGCTGTGAGTCCCACAACTCAGCTGTCCTGAGGCTTGGGGTGTGGGGCCTAGAATCCGCCAGAGTCTGGCCCTCCTCTGAAATTCACACACACTGCAGTTCATGCTGACAAACTCACAGCAGGTATGAGAACCCGATATACCTTGTGATTTGTCCTTGCAGAGCATGCAGAATAGGACGCTAACTGGAAATACAACTGTGTGGCCGGGGGGTGTGAAGGCGCAGCGTGGGGGGCCAGGGTTGGGCCCCGTGGGGGCCAGGGTCTCCGAGGGGAAGTAAGGACAATGGGGGTGTGAAGGTGCAGCGTGAGGCTGGGGCCTCCGAAAGCAAGGACAATGGGAGTGTGAAGGCGCAGCATGGGAGGCCAGGGCCTCCGAAGAGCAAGGACAATGGGTGTGGCGCAGCGTGGGGGCCCAGGAGCCTCCGGGAAAGCAAGGACAATGGGGGTGTGAAGGTGCAGGCGTGGGGGGCCCAGGGCCTCCCAGGAAGCTTTTTCTGGGACAATAGAGGGTATAAAAAGGTGCAGCGTTAGGGGCAGGGCCTCCGGGGGGAAACAAGGACAATGGGGGTGTGAAGGCGCAGCATTAGGGGCGGGGCCTCCGAGAAACAAGGACAATGGGGTGTGAAGGGCGCAGCGTGGGAGGCGCGGGGCCTCCGAGAGGAAGCAAGGACAATGGGGTGTGAAGGTGCAGCGTGGGGCTGGGGCCTCCGGGAAGCAAGGACAATGGGGGTGTAGAAGGCACAGGCATTGGGGGAGCCCAGGAGCCTCCGGGAAGCAAGGACAATGCAGGGGTGTGGCGCAGGCGTGAGGCCAGGGCCTCCCGGGAAGCAAGGACAATGGGGGTGTGAAGGTGCAGCGTGGGGAGCCAGGGCCTCCGGGAAGCAAGGACAGTAGGTGTTAAAATTACAGGCGGTTGGGGATGGGGCCTCTACGGAAAGCAAGGACAGTAGGGTGTGAAGGCGCAGCGTGAGGGGGCCGGGGCCTCCGGGGAAGCAGGACAATGGGGTGTGAAGGTGCAGCGTGGGGGCCAGGGCCTCGGGGAAGCAGGCAATGGGGGTGTGAAGGTGCAGGCGTGGGGGCCGGGGCCTCCGGGAAGCAAGGACAATGGGGAGTGTGAGTGCAGCGTGGGGGGCGGGGCCTCTGACAAGGACAATGGGGACATCTGGCAGTGGTCTAGGCCAAGGGACGTCATGTGGAGGCCAGAGAGGACAGAGAGGGGACCTGAAGACTGGAGACGGAAGGAAGGCAGGGCCAAGTGCGCCTCTGTGCGGGGCCTCCCGGGGAAGCAAGGACAATGGGGACATCTGGCAGTGGTCTAGGCCAAGGGGACGTCATGTGTGGAGGCCAGAGGACAGAGGGGACCTGAAGACTGGAGACGGAAGGAAGGCAGAGACCCAAGTGCGCCTCTGTGCGTGGCAGTGCTCCTTGGACAGCTCAGGATGATGCGGGCGCCTCTCAGTGATTGTGACTTGGGAAGAAGGTGACTTAAGAGAACCTCATATGTTTATCAAAAACCTAATACACGCACAGACTATTTCCCTGTATTTTGCTAAAATTGTGAGGAATTCCTGGGATTCAGGGAGCTGTCAAGTGAAATGGTGTTTAGACTGCGGATTAGAAACAGCTCTGCAGGGAGAAAGGACTCTGTCTGTTTTCTCTGTGGACCTGGGGTAAGCTCGGGGGCTGTGTGACGGGGAGGAGCAGCACCCGGCAGCAGCCCCCGACAACTCAGGTCTGAGCTGGGCCTCCCACGGGCAAGTTCCTGAGCTCTCTGGGTCTCTCACTTTTCTTATACATGAAGTATAATACAAGTATATACATGAAGTATTATACAAGGTGGGGATGAAAGCATGTTCAATGCCGAGAGCACTGAGGCCAGCAGCTGTTACTATTAAAGTATTTTCTGAGACTCTTTGTGGGGTAGAACCTGGTTAAGGTGGGAATAAGCTTTGCAGAGGTCAGGGAGGTCAGCGGCAGAGGAGAGGCTGCTTTTAGTTTGCTGCCAACACGAACAGTCACACTGATTTCATTTCTAGGCATAACCACAAAGGAGGAGGAAAAGAGAAATTCCCACCTATTCACCCTTCACAGGAAGTTCCTGTTTTGCAGATAAGGTAGGCGCGGTCGGCAAAATCAGCTCAGCTTTCAATGCACGTCGCATGCCTGCTGCACTTCTGGTGTCCTTTTCTAAGCCACTGGTGCTGTTATCTTTACTTTTTTTTTTTTGAGATGGAGTCTGGCTTTGTTGCCCAAGCTGGAGTGCAATGGCATGATCTCACCTCACTGCAACCTCCACCTCACGGGTTCAAGTGATTCTTGTGCCTCAGCCTCTCGAGTAGCTGGGATTACAGGCACACACCACCACGCCTGGCTAATTTTTTGTATTTTTAGTAGACACAGGGTTTCACCATGTTAGGCTGGTCTTGAACTCCTGACCTCAGGTGATCCACCCACGCCCACCTCAACCTCCCAAAGCACTGGGATTACAGGCGTGAGCCACCACGCACAGTCCTGGTGCTGTTATCTTTGAAAATGAGATTCCATTCCTGCCCAGGAGAGACTGACGGTGTTTGCTTCGATGCACACCACGCTATATCCCCGCGCGTACTGTTCTCTGCTGCTGGCCACGCCCCACAGCAGGACGAAGCCCCAGCCAGGGGAGGGCGGCCTGCAGAGAGCCGGGAGGGCTTGTCAGTGGCCACTCTGTCCCTCCGCCTTCTGCCACGGGACCCTTTAAAAATCTCAGATCCAACACAGTTCCTGACACAAACTATGGCTTCCACTTGAAAACAAAATCTAGCAAGAAAATCCCAGGAGGAACAAGTGTGCAGGTGTTGTCTTGAAGTTCACCCAAGTAAAATGTTGTTTTTACATCAGTATTATTCATTCTAAATGATGACTGTATCAAGAATCTTCTATATATGTTTTGTTTTTTTCCAAAATAGATGTCCTCCCCTGGATGAGCTGGCAGGTGCTGAGTGAAACTTACCCCACCATGAGGAAGCCCTGATACAAAGGGACGGATGCAAAGTAGAAGACTGAGGAAAACACAGCCTGGAGAGAGAGCCACAGACGAAGACAACCGTCAGTTCCACGAGCACCTGTGGCCCCAGGCCTCTCAGGGGCCTCGCTACCTCCTAAGCACAGCCCAGGTACTTCCAGCAGCACTCAGCACCCCCTCTCCTGGACGCTGCCCTCCCCGGTGCCAGCACAGAAGGCTCAGTACCTGCATGGTGGAGATGATAAGGCCCCTGTGCATGACGAACTGGCCGAGTGCCGCTGACCTCTTGTAGCTGTTCCGTCCGTGCACCATGAGCAGCCTGCCAATGTGCCGGAACTGCCTGATGGAGAAGTCGGCCGCCAGCGAGGCCTGCTTCCCCTCCTGAAAGAAAAGTACACGGGGCCTTTCAAACACTGCAGACACTGGAAATCAGACTCCAAAAGCTGAGTTTTAGAACTCAGCCTACATTTGACAAAGACTAAAGTTCTCTCTGCAGGACTTTTAGAGCTTCAGCTATGTCAGTGGGGACAGGTCCTACGGTCTTAGGCACAGGGGCAGGAAGAGCCCCCAGCACCAGCCCAGGCTCTCACAAGCGCTTCAGGAGAGCTGGGCTCCAATAGTCTGTGAGTGTCACAGGAGTCAGCAGAGTCGTAGAGCCCGGGCCAGCCCTGTCGAAGGACTCCCTTGTGATCTGAGCGTGGGCCAGCTCTGTGGGAGGACGCCCCTGTGATCTGAGCATGGGCCAGCTCTGTGGGAGGACACCCCTATCATCTTGGGCTTCTTCAAGGCAGTTCTCCGTTTTTCATATTTAAAGAAATAATCTATCTCCTCTTTCACAATTCTGTTGTAAGGCATTACGAAAGGAAGTAGCCAAGGAAAAAGCCACACTTGCTTGAGCTGGGTGAATTTTCCAGGTCTTTTTGGGTGTGTCTGTATTAACATTTAAGTGACTGTGGATAAAGAGAGCATAACACAGATAAGGCTGGCACAGAAGACGACCTCAAACCACAGCTCAGCCAGGAGACACAGGCGACCACACAGAGAATGGCGTGTGGGAACAGGAGGGAGGCCACGGAAAGGCTCGCTGGCGGATCTGCTGACATCTGGGCTGAGTCCGAGGGCAGGTGAGTCCGAGGGCAGGTGACTAAGAGTGACACCTCCCTGCATGCCACTCCGCCAACAGCAAGTTGCCAAGGGCTGGGCTCTGATGCACGTGGCAGGATCGTCTTTATGAAATGTGGGGTTGAAGCAGGGGACTCTGACCAATTCCTCCTTTACTCAAATGTACAGTTCAGTGCCTGGGACACACCAGGCTCTTCAGGCTGTGCTGACTGACTGTGTGCTGAACACACGTGCTGACCAAGTGTGCATTCACCAAGCATGTGTTCTGACCAAGCGTGCAATGAGTATGTGTTGGGTGTAAAATGACCAGGTATGCGCTGAGTATGTGCTGACGTGCGCTGACCTAGTGTGTGCCGAGCGTATGTGGTGTGCTAAACGAGTGTGCTGAGTGTGCGCTGAGCACATGTTGATCAAGTGTGTGCCGAGTGTGTGCTGACTGTGCACTGAGCACGTGCTGATGTGTGCTGACCGAGCGTGTGCTGATGTGTGTGCTGACCGAGCGTGTGCTGATGTGTGCTGTGTGCTGAGCACGTGCAGAGTGTGTGCTGACCGAGTGTGCGCTAAGCACGTGCTGATGTGCACTGAGTAGGTGCTGAGTGTACAATGGCCCAGCATGTGCTGAGTCGTGTTGATGTGTGCTGTGTGCTGAGTGTGTGCTGATGTGTTGATAAAAGGGGGAACCTACCTTTCCCTCAATCCCAATCCCACAGTCTGCTGCCTGAATCATGCTGACATCATTTCCTCCATCACCTGCGAAGCAAGAAGTGAGATAAAATAAAACCCCATCCATCATCACGTTTTTCATTTGTTACCATCAGCAGCTATTTCAGAAACTTCCATGAATAGAGACGAAATCAGTCTAGTTTTAGAGATGGAACAAACTCTGCCCATCAATGTCAGCCTGCGGGTTTCTCTGGAGACCTCCCCGTGAGTAGGGTGGGCGGCTCTCACCGATGGCGCAGGTGCGTCTCCCTGTGTGCTGCTGCAGCAGTGTCACGATGTGGGCCTTCTGCGTGGGCGAGCAGCGGCAGCACACCACGGCGGGGCACTGGCAGGCCAGCTCCACAAATTCATGCTCGTAGTACTTTAGACAAACCTGAACAACAAAGCCTGTGTTATTTTGCCTTACGGTCGACAACACTGTCCCAGATTTGTGTAATGCAGAAAGTGCAACACCACGGGAGCAAAGCCAACAGACGCCACCGTTCTCAATCTTTTCAGTATTCTGTGAATCATTTCACAAGACTCACGGACAGGGGGAAATATAAAAATCATGGGAAGAAATTCTATGTAACATGGAACCATCCTCCTGCCCTGGGAAGTTCTTCCACTTGAAGTACCAGAGAGAATCCCCTGTGATTTGAGCTATGACATGACCTTCTGGTCTGATCCCCCTCCCCTGGAATCCAGGCTGCCTTAGTGACTTTCTTGAACAACTTCATGTGACCCAGTGACGTTCTGGGGCAGCTTCTGCCAGATTTCTTGGCGTGCTTGCTCTGGGGACACTAGCAACACAGAGGTCCAGGACGATTAAGTCCAGGAGCCTGTGTAAAAGCTGTGCAGGGGGAGGCTCCCACCAGCCCCAGTGCCACAGCTCTCTCAGCCGGGGGCCACGCGTGCGAGGAAAACGAGGCATGAAGCTACTTTGGACACTCCTGCTCCAGCGGATGCAATGTGGACAGGACAGAGAGCCAGAATCACGGCGCTGGACAGGCTCCTGTCGCTCCCGCTCCAGGTTTCCTGCAGCACTTTCAGGCTCTCAATGTCTAACGGAGGAGTAACAATCACCACGACCCAGCCCTACTTTCAGACTCTCAATGTGTAAAGGAGGAGTAATAACCGCTGAGATCCAGCTCTGCCATCTCCTCAGGGTGGGGCTGCTTTCCAGACTGGCAAGTGCCGCGGCTATGGAACGGAGACTGCCGAAACAGCACAGACGGGCGAAAGCACTCCACTCAACAAGCCCTCGGTGCACTGGGATGGACAGACATGCTCGGCCAGAGGCCAGCCTTGCCTCAGAGACACAGACAGACAGACAGACACACATATACTCACTCAGGGTCCAGCCTTACCTCCAGAGAGTCCCCAGATATGACCAGTGCACAATCATGCTTCCTTCGAAATGCATTCAGCTCCAAATGTGCCTCTCCCCGACTGGTTACCTCCATTAAGGGAGAAAAAAGAATCCCAAATTAAATGTTGTCTAAGTTAGAGGCACAGAGAAACAGGGCATTAGTTGCAGAGTCACGGTGGACTGTTTTGGGGTTATCATCTGAAACTAAAGTAGCTTTAGGATTTGGACGCAGAAGAAGGTCCTTTCCAATTCCTCCGGCAGTGCTGGGTGTGTCTCCCCACTCAGTTAACACAGATCATTTTCAAATTTGTGGCAACTGCAAGCAGGAGACTTACAGTGAGGAATGCAGTGGAATCACCACGCTGATGAAATTTACGTAAAGGGTGCCTATGAGTTAATAATTACCCTCTGGATAGTTTGGGAAATAATTGCCTTTTATAAATATACTCCCTTAACATACAACGATAATGATTAAGAATTTTCTTGTAATTTCCACGAGGTGATTATTTATCAGAGCAACAGGCCAGGGTGGGCTGGTGTGGGGAGCAGCACTGCTGAGTCACTGACTGGCAGCATCATGGACATGGCTCTGCAGAACGAGGCTTCCACCCGACAGGGCACCAGAGCCCAGGGAGGCCGAGCTCCTCATCGCCACACATCGGGTAAGAGGCAGGACGCTCTCAAACCAAGGTGTTATGTAAATGCATCTCTTTTCATAATAGGTCAAATAATGCAAAATACTTAATTGCTCATGTTGTCTCTGCCATGGGTTTCAACTTACTCCATTAGGTTTTACTCAGTGTCTGAGGGATTTTTAAAAAACCTAAAAGAGTAAAATTAAGTCATAATCTTGAAATATCCTTCGTTTTAGAACAAAAACATTTCAGAAACCAACGTAACTGGTTTTTCATATTCTTTCTGTGGAGATTTTATGGAGCATAAAATAAATGATATATTAATAGTCCTATTAATAGGACCGAAATAAATTAAAAGCTTCATGTAGTTCAAATTAACAATCTCAGACTCATCTTTAAATAGGTAGGTTTTATTGTGAAAAATTTAATTTGTGGTGCTATAACACTGAAAAGTCAACAAAAATTGATCTGAAGTTTTATCAGAAGCATTAATAATTTAATTGCAAATAGTAGTCTTCAGGGCCTAATTTGCGATTCTGATGCTTCAAAACAAACTACATTTACATGTAAATTATATTCAAATAACTCCTTCTGTAGGTGCAAGCGATTCATTTAGAACAGACGCAGACACAGAATGTCTGCTCACCCACCATCAATCAAGAACAAGAAATTTTTATTTTTTGTTTGAATTAAATTTAGTCATAACTAATACATACAGTAAACACATAAACTTAGATCATTTCTATCAATTTTCTTTGAACTAATTAAGGCAGCACTTGCTCTGAAAATGGCAGTGATTAAAAACACATTCCTATTTTGTATTTATAGCTTGTTTCACAACAGCAGCTTCAGACGACATGTAATACGTGTAACTTGTAGGAAAATGTAATTTTTTATCAATATACATTTTTACAAATTGAAAATAACTGCAGTATGCCTCTTTTAAAATAGCAAAAAATAATACTAATAGTATAACCAAAAAATATTTTTGAACTTAGAGTTTGTTCAATCTGTCAAAAAGCAGCTTTTGATCATTATTAATGTATGTGGTTAAAAATATCTATTTGAACATGCTTTTATAAATTAAAAAAATTACAATATTTCTTTTTAAAAAGATATTTAGTGATTAATAAATAACTGAACATATATTCTGAGAAAAACAATAGGCTTTGTGTGAGAGAAATATTTAAAAATTCAAAGTGATTAAGATACATACTTACCTGTCTGAAAATATGAATATCTTGTGTTCTAGACACCAGATGTGAACTTTTGGCAATGCAAGTAGCTGTCTCGAGTTTATCGCCTGTTAGCATCCATATCTACGAAGCAATTTAAACTGGTGAACGTCAACAAGACAAGGACACGTTCATCTCTGAGTCTCACATAATTCACAACAGCCAAAGGTGGAAGCAAGCCAGGTGCCCGTCAACAGATAAACGGATGAGCAAAATGTGTTCCATCCACACAACGGAGTGTTACTCAGCCTTAAAAAGGATGGAAATTCCGACCCAGGCTGCAATGTGGTTCAACCTTGAGGACATTATGCTGGGTGAAAGAAGCCAGTCACAAAAGGACAAACACTGTCTGATCCCATTTCCATGAGGTCCCTAGAGCCATCCAATCCATAGAGAAAGAAGTAGATGGTTGGGTGCCAGGGTCTAGGGGAAGGGGAATGGGGAGATGGGCAGTTCCCGTTTAGGAAGATGGAACAGTTCTGGAGGGAATGGTGGTGATGGCTGCACCAGAATCGGCAACGCAGACTTCAATGAGGTCACGCTACACACATCCAACCACAACTAAACGGTGTGTCGGCAAGCAGTTATTATCGGCAACACAGACTTCAACAAAGGTCACGCTACACACATCCAACCACAACTAAGCGATTGTGTGAACTTGTGGAACTGGAACAAGTGAGAGCACAGTGATGTGCAGATACAGCAGCTGAGATCTGGAGGCATGTGAGTAACACCTGGGCCCGGCACTGGCAGGCTAAGTCTATTAAGGATAGCTGTGTCAAAGGTGCCGTCCACACAACGACCACACCAAGTACCACACAGGCCTGCCAAAGCAGCACACAGTCCGCAGTTTGCCAGGCTGGGAGGCTCATGAAGACCTTTTCACCTGTGGTTGCTAGTTTTTAAGGTTGGAGACGGAGGTTCAATGGAGTAACTGGCCCATAGTCAGAAGCCAAAAAAGTTGTTGTTTATGTCATATAAAACATGTTAAATAGTAGCACTTTACATTTAAAGTACATACCCAGCCACATCTTGTATGTGTATATGTATCCCTAAACAATAAAATATCAGGATACTTAATACATATCAGGATATTTGATATATATAACAGCAAAGAAATTCCAGTAATAGTCTCATTAGCTGAATTTCTCAGATTTATATGTATTATATTGAAATATGCATTTTGCAAACAGGAAACTTGAAAAACAACTTGACAGTGTGCAGATTATCTGCTTAAGCACGCTCCACCTGTGGCTCTCTGTCTCTCTATGTCTCTAAGATTTGTGCTTTGTATTTATTTTACAGACTTATATTCTGTTGGACCTAAGATTATGACACATTATCAGTAACAAAGGTTGAAGAAGAACTAGCACTCGCGGCAGCCTGAGTGGGATTCAGGAAACGCAGTGAGGTCCCGCTGAAAATCACCTTCGAGTTTCAGAGGAACATCTGAAATCAGACTTTACATAATGTACAGAATAAAAGAAACAAAACTTCGACAAAGTCATATAATTTAGCAAATAATTGATGTAAAAGTGGAATTTTAATACAAGGGATATTCACTACTTTAATATACTAATAGTCTAGCACATGTAAAGTAAAGTAGACTGGTGAAGTTTTCAAAAGTTACAGTGAAATGACAGGGTCATCTGGTCACTCATTCATGTGTCGATTTACAGATGGGTCTTGCCGTGAACTCTGGGGCACCGACTGAACCTCGCTTCAGTCTTCGAGTAGCTGGGATCCCAGGCACACCAGTACCACACCAGCTCATCTGCTTCTCATTAATCACACTTCTTTATTCAACTTTTATTTCATACAATACAATTAAGTTTAGTAATCTAAACTTTCTGAGTCAGAATTGTTCTCTTGTCATTTTGAATTTCTGCATAGACAATTACTCTGAAACCAGATACAGCTTCATGACACACTTCCTACTGGTGACATCACTTCCCTACACGATCATGACACACTTCCTACTGAGATGTGACATACTTCCTACTTTGCGATCGCGTGCACTTTACCTGCCAGAGATCGCCTGACGCCGCCTGCTGGTCAGCATTTTGCTTCTCAAAGTTCATGACGCCGCACCTGCCACAGTAAATCAAACCACGCCTCGCTGAGATCATGACATACTTCCTACTGCTGGATCATGATACACTTCCCTGTGCGATCACGACACCACTTCTGCAAGTCATGACACCGCTTCTACTCGATCTGACCACTTCTCTATGAGATCATGACATGCCTGCTGCGATCATGATACACTCCTATAGATCCGACACACTTCCTACTGGGTCATGACATACTTCCTACTGCGTCATGATACACTTCCTGCTGCAGTCTCCTATGTTACAGCTCATGACACACTTCCTACTGCGATCATGACACCCTACTGAGATCATGCCACACTTCCTACTGCGATCATGCCACACTTCCTACCGCGATCATGACACACTTCCTACTGCGATCTCAGTCGGATATAGACAGCCTCTGACCACTTCCTGCACCATCATGGCCCATTTCCTACTGTGATCATGACATGCTCTACTGTGATCATGACATGCTTCCTACTGTGATCACTGACATATCTATGATCCTTAACCATTACTCTGCTGGCAGTGTGACATACACACTCCTCTGTGATCATGCCACACTTCCTACTGCGATCATGCCACACTTCCTACCGCGATCATGACACACTTCCTAATCTCAGTCGGATATGAACAGCCTCCTGACACTTCCCTACTGCCATCACTGGCCACAGGCCTCTACTGCCATCATGACACATTTCCCACTGCCATCTTGACATTTCCTGCTGGCAGTCATGACATACTCACCTAGATCAAGCATGCTTCTACGATCTCGGAGTGGACGTTAATCTTCCAAGTCTTACCATGCAGACCCTCTAGACAGCAAAGAAGAAAACAATTGTACATTTTCTGTCATATTTGCTTGTCTTCATTAGCGGATGTATTTTTGTCTGATTGTAAACTATGACTATTTTTTTTTGTCCTTCAGTTCAAAATCACCTCTAGTCTAGATAGGCAGCTTTCTATCACAAACTAAGTTACACTTTTTCCATTCTAAAGTAGGTCAGCGGTGGTGCTAAATAAATTTATCTTAACCAATCTGCAATTTAGCCTTTTGGCTAAGTAGGAGCTTGTGTGAGGAAGCTCCTAGAAAGAATGAAGCACCACAGGTGCTAATTTCCCCTGTGTGGAAGAGGCATCCAGTAAGTGAAAGAGCCAGAGCAGGTCGGCAGGCAGGGAGCACAGACCCCAGCCACACAGCATCTGGAAATGCAGAAGCATGGCCCAGGATGCTAACCTCTCCCATCAGGAAGTACTCACATTCACAGACACCTGTGTTTAAACTGCCAAGGACCACAGCTGGATGAGATGCGGCACTGCCACCAGAGAACACGGAGGAACAGGCACTGCCTGCTGGGAGATGGGACAGGTGCTGCTGCAGAACATGGTGGCCGGAGTGGGGGGCATGAGCCACACAGCTCGGCAGTGGAAATTCTCCTCCAGCTCTGGGAGGAAGGTGCACAGGAAGAGCAGAAGAGGCCAGAGGACAAACCAGCTTTGCCTGCCTGCCAGTCAGGCGTCTCTGGGCCAGGCTCTTGCCGCTGAGCCCGGCAGTGAGGCAGCCAGCTTCCGCAGGGGGTGTCCTTTTGTGCTTTCTGGGTTGTGTTGACAATGTGGATACGTATTTCCTTTAAAACATCAATAAAATGGTTGCCAGTGCAGTAATGAAGATATTCATATTCTCAACTCTAATATGCCCACACCGAAAATACAGAGATGATTCCAAATGTGGCACAATTTAACACAGATAAGCCAGCCCTTGAGGCCTGGGTTCTCCTCCCATGCTCCACAGAACACTGGCAGCTGTGCACCTGCCGTGCGTACCCGGGCTGTGAGTGCTCACAGGGAAATTCCACACAATTTCTGGGAGCCACGTTACACAGAGAGGCACAGTGGCTGACACCTCCAGTGCAAAGTTCATCACAGGCTGGGGAGCAAGGGCATGAGTGCCAATAGCCAGGAATGGCTCACGAGCGCCCTGGCAGTGGTGACCCAAGGTGGGCACTGGCCCCATGCGATCTGTCAAGGAGTACATGCTTGTTTCTAAGTGGCATGTGGGAGTTTGACACATCGCCATGGCTGGACAAGGGCTCCCTCTGAAAGGCAGGGTATCACGGGAGAGGGAAAGAGGTATGGAGAGAGGTCTGGAGCAGGGAGACGGCGTGAGGGACTTGTGTCGCTGGGCAGTCCTAAGGGAAGGAGGCCTCCATGGGCAGCCACACTTCCAGGCTAAGCTCTGAATACTGACCGGGGAGTTTCTGAATCAGCTGCTTTAAAGGAAAAGCAGTTTTGCTTTGGCACAGGCAGCCTTGCCCGTGGAGGAGTGACCAGCCTGGTGCCCGATCTGGCGTTGGCAGCATCTCCAGCGTGGAGCGCGGTCGCCTGCAGCTGGTCCTCCCGCGCGTTGGGGCATAGCAGGTTCATCCCCTCCCCCTCTCCAGGCTCTCAACTACCCTTTTTGGCCCCTTGAGGGACCACTGTCGTGCATGTCGGCAGCCTGAGTGTAGCTCGGCTCTGGGGATGCGAGGAGGCGGCTGTGTGCCTTTTATGTCGTATGCGTGCTCCACGTGTGGCCTCCACAGGCTGGGCCACATGCTAAATGTCACAAGGGGACTTTGGTGGGGGCGCCTGTGTGCCTCCACTCTCATGTGCTCGTAGCTAAATGGACTGTGACCCTTAGGGTTATCAACTATTCTAAGAGCTGGCACTTCTTTGCTTCTGTAGGCACTCCTTTCCCAGCAGGCTGGAGGAGTGGTGGAAACAGAAATGCAGAGGATCACACATGCTTTCTGCTCAGCCAGGCTGCCTTCTACACTCCTAGACTACAACAATCCCCAGCTCTAATTTCATACAAAGACAGGAAGAACTAATTTCAGCAGAAGGAAGGAAATGGGCAGGAGGGTGAGGTGGCCAAGTCGCTCACCTCAAAGTCCTGAGTACTGCTCCTCCTGTCCTTCTTTCAGCGAGGTCCGCAGTCCTTAGCAGCCATGT